CCAGAGAGTTCTCTCCTAACAAAATAGACAACAAATAACAGAATGATTCCCCTTTTTCCCCTCCACTACTTTTAACTTTCTCCCTAACGACCCTTCTCCTTCTTCTCTCTCCTCGTGTACACTTTCCATATTATGGGCTTTTTACCCAACTGAGAAATTATGGGCTCATGGGCTTTAGCATCTGGATTCCCAACACCTTCAAGTTCAGAATTAAGTCTCTTGAGTCGATCAGTAGTGGATGATATATCATCTCTAGGAGGAACTTCCGGAGCTGAAATTTTACAACGACAATCAACCTTCTTTAAGCTTCCGGAATATTCTGATTCAGGTCCAGACAACTGAATCGATACCATACATTCTGATTTTGCAGTCGATGGTTCCTATGATGCAAAAAAGGATTCAGCTTCTTGAAATGGAAAGAAAGCTTATTAATTTGATTATATTTAAGAAGAATCAACTGATCAAGTAAATTAGAGCTATTCTCAATGTAATAATACGTGTAACCCATGACATTACTCTCCAAAAGAGCCTTTGAGGAGAGAAGGGAGGTTACAACATATACAGAGGAGAAATAGTCCAAGTCTAGCCGATGTGGAACTCTATCACGCCCCCTCAAATGGAGGCTAGACTGACAGAGATTGTCCCAGAGTGTTGAGAGGGGACTAGTCAGGCGAGGGGGCTAGACGAGTACAAATTGGCCCAGAGTGTGGAGTCCCTAGAGTGGTAGACCGTTGCTTTGATACTATATAAGAATACATGGAACCCATTAGATTATTCTCCAAAAGAGCCTTTGAGGAGAGAAAGAAGGTTCCAACATATGCAGAGGATAAATGTCCAAGTCTAGCTGATATGGGACTCCAACATTGAAGATCATAGGTAAACAGCAGGCTTGATTTACAAATAAACCTCCTTATAAATAATACACTTCTTCAAGTACATCTTAATGACAACAAAAGATGATCTGAAAAGTTTTTAGAGTGCTACAGGTTATCCCTTCCTTTTTAAGTGCACACACTGAAACTTCTAAAGTATTGGAATTGTTGGTGCCATGTTACGTGAATGCAATCCATGAGAAATATATTGTTTCTAATTGATGTTCCACACCTGAAGTTGGTGCTGTTATGTTATGTGACTACAAACTTTATGACCTATAGGTCTAAAAAAATGCTACTGAATGAAACAATTGTAAGTTATAGTTCGTGACCTAGATTCTAAGAAACCTGTATGTGCAGTCTTGCTATTCATCACTATTCAAAACCAAATATACCAACTGCATTTAAATTATGTCCATCTGTCCCTATATATATCAATGAACGACTAAATTTTGCCAAAATAAGTAGTTAGTATGAATGATACATGTCTGCAATTTAAGTTCGGGTGCAGTTTTTATATGTATGAAATACAATAAAGGAGTTCACAGTTATAAATTTACAAGCATTATTTTAACAAATTTTTGATTGATAGTTCAGATGGGATTGTAATCAAACCTGGGAATTTGAACTATATTCATCAAACTCCAAGTAATTTGCATCTCCTACCATGCAACTAGCAAGCTTCGGTTTCAACTTCTCCGTAGTTTGAAGAGACATTTTAGTCTCATAACCAGCCACTGAATCAACAAGAGAAGCTCCATTGGTGGCACCATTATCAATATCAGAAATCCATAGCTGATGTTTAACAGGACTCTCGTTCTCAAAGTCAGTCTCGGTTGATATTTGGCTGGAATGGATGTCTGGTGAATAATTACCAAACTCAATACTACAGGTATTGCTACCTTGGGACTGAGACCTTTTGTTGCATCTTATTTTTTTCAACAGTTTATCCTCTCCATGATTAAAAATTCCCTTCAGTCCCATTCTTCTACCTTGGTTTAGGGACTTGCTACATACCAGTACGTTCTCATCAGCATCAGCTTCAAGACAAACATTCATTATTTGATCTGGGTTATGAAAAGATGGAGGATAAGATCTTGACCTTGATGTACTTCTGAGATCTCCATCTCTGTGACCATCAACACTACAAATACCCAAGCCTGCAGGTGAGGCGAATACGTCACTGACCCGAACCAAACCCGCTACACAGTCTGATCCTGAAGGTTTCATTTCTTTTCCAGTAAAAGAAAGAACTTCTCCCAGTGTACTACCCTTACTGACCATTTCAACATCTTCCTGCATGCTATTCATCTTCCATCTTTTTGACATTCTATTCTTTGCCTCCCTAATCAGGGAGGGTTCAGATATATCAGTTAGCGAATGTGTGAGCCGGTCATTCCGGTCAATGGTGATTCTGGATGGCATTGTTATCACTTCTGATTCACTAGAAGGGACACTTCTAGACATGCTCAAGCTCTCATCCCCAAAATGTCCTCTAGAACCATATTCAAATATATTAGCATGCCCACTTTCAAAATCCTCTTTCGTTTGACTATATATCTCCATTACAGTCCCTCTAGCATCTCTGCGCTTTCGTCCAGAAAATATGACTTCACCTGGTGGCTCTTTATGCTCCCAAGAGTCTCCCTCACCAGTCACACTACCAAAACATTCTGTGTTTTTCCTTAAGTCATCAGAAGAATGATCAACATTTTTAGAATTTTCAGTGTTTTGCTTCAAGACGACAATCTTCTTTGGAGGAATGTCAGAGTCAGACACCTCCTTCCTTTCTAAGTTAATTCTAGACAACTTGTGAGAGTGATGAATACTGTGACTGGAAATTTCTGCACTTGATTGCAATGAGTGACGTTCATTTGCAACATGTGATGCCTCTAGATCTTCGTACACATCCTCGAGAAGTTGCTGCTCCATTGTGCTCTTCTTATCTGACTGATGATTGAATGGATTCTCATTCCTTCGGCCTTCGAGGGATGCAGTGCTCTTACTAGAGTTGTCAGACAACCTTCTTTGTTGCTTGAGGATAGCTCGGGCAGATAACAGTCCATCTCTTCCCACCAGCTTAGCCAGAATACTTGGTGACTGTTTTTTGGCTGAGGTTTCATTTGCTATTCCCTTAGCTAACAACTTCTTCATTGGTTTCACATTACACTGTTTAGAAGTGCTTTTTCCGACATCAAACTTGAACTACAATTAACACATTTAGTCACAATCATAACTTGTGTATATAAAAAGATAGGACAACTGTAATAAACATATCTCAGTAAATTAATCCTGACCTTGTCACTACTTGAAAGTAAATTTGTGACAAAAAAATTATAAAGCTTAGTGAATAATATACTCAAACAAGGAGGCAAAAAGAAATATGACTCACCAAACCTTGCTCGGTGATAGCATCTCCAGGGGGCCAACATTGAATAGTTCTCTTTTCCTCATTCCCTGTAAAAGTTACATATGTTTATTCAAATGCATCTCTCACAAATACTAAATTAGAAGCAGGATTACCATACAGCATGAAATTGAGATTAACACTGAGCTAAACACTAAAAAACAAATTGCAACTTTAATTTGACCAGAAAAGGGAAGTGAAGTGCAAAATCTGAGAGAAAAGATCAACATAAAGTAGAAAATTTGGACTCAGAAAAATCAGAAGACCAAAATTCTCATAGATCAACCATGTTGACCGTTGACACCATTGGTTAGGCTAAAAACAAACAGAATAGAAATTAGACAGGCTATGAGAGCAGTATGCCCTGCAATGATATTTCATGCTACCTCAGGAATTTAAGAAAATATGTAGACAAAATCGTACCCATACCTCTACACCATTCCACTGAAACACAAAACCAACTTCACATATAAAGCCTAGAAATGCTAAATTTAATGTTTCTCGCTAGATTCATAACCCGAAAAAAGCAGAGAACAGAGAAGAAAAAGGGACAACAGACATTAAACCCCTAGATTCAAAATAAGTACGCTCATAAATTATACTGTCTTTAAAAATAGAAATTACAATCAAAGCGGTAGGGTAAGGGATAGGGACCAAATTTTGACCTCATCCTGAAACATAAGAACCATAGTTTTGACCCAAAAAAATTCAAAATTACAGAAAATCAAACATCACAAGATGTCAAGATAAGCATTCACATCCAGGCAAAGACAACTTCAATTCCATTGTTTCAAAAGCATTCACGAAACAGCAAGAATTAATTTCTTTATTCTTACGTTTCCATTCTTTTACCTTCCTTGTTCCCACTCAATTTCATCATCAATCAGTAGAAACGTAAAATCGATCTATACAGTGAGCAAAATTACATCATTTTGAAACAAATTCATCACAAATTAAAACTTCTGACATCGCATCAAGCTTTTTTCAATTAAACTTCTCACTTTCCTCAACAACGAAACAATTTCCAGAGCTAAGCACATGAGAAGGAGGGAGACAGAATTTTACCTCCAAATAAACAAGGAAACTTCAATTTCCTCCTCTTAACTCTCTCCATTTTCAACTAAATCGAAACCAAACTCAACACAAAATCATCCTTCTTTTGGTTTCGTCAACCAAATAAAAAATTCAAAAAAGGAAAATCCATAGAAAATCTCGACTAGATCGGAATTATCCCGAAAAAAAGCACGAGCACGACGAATCCAAAGAAAACACATACTCAGATTTAATTTCTTCAAATTACTTCATCTTCAATCCAAAGCACACACCTACACCACGTAAACATTACACAAACACAAAATCACGTTACGTTAACATATCCATGAATTCAACTTTGCAAAACAAAAATACATAGAGAGAGAGAGTTCTTACATTAATGGCTGCTTCGGTTGATCGTCTTCTTAACAAACTATTCTAGAGAGAGAGAGAGAGAGACTGTGTTTTTGAAGTTTCAAATGAAAATACTCTACAAGAAAGAGCGAGAGTGGAAGAGGGGAGAAGTGGATTGGTAATAGCCAAACCAGGGTTTCGCGGGTTTAATGCTGGGTCCCACGTCCATTTGTCAGAATATTCTTATGCCACGTAATCCTTCATTCCCTCGTATATGAATGAAAATATTCAATACCATAAATATATCTACTGCTTTGACTTTTTGTTGGTCTATTTTTCTAGATTTATTTATTATGTAATATTATTTATTACTATTTTTGTTTTTAATATAAAAATCATAACATTTAATTTCATTCGTAATTTTTTAAATAAAATTTTAATTATTTTTCTTAAAATACATTTTTGGATTTTTAGTAAATCACCACAAGATATTACACTCTCTAAATCCTGATTTTTTTTAGAATCAGTATATCATGTGTTATTTCATATGATTTTTTTTATGGCTAGAATTAGTGTAGTTTATTAACATATATATTTTTCACAAATGTTTGTTTCATATGTATTTGGTTTACATTGTAAAACAAAAAATACAGGTAAAAGAATTCCATATTATGAACATAATACATATGAAACAAACATATTGTGAAATAAATATATGTTAATTAATACATTAAATATTATAATTATATGGAAAAAATCATATAAAATAAAACTTTAAGGTATAAATTCTCATGGATCTCACAAATTTTAGAGTTCTCAAATGATTAAGTCACAAAATATTAAATTTATATATATATATATATATAAGTGAGTTATTATACAACCATTTATATTTGTACAACCAATACAACTCAATCTCAACTGTCCATTTAATTTGATGAATATATGATTTCATAAAAAATTTGATTGTTTCCTAATATAAAGTATTGATCATAATTAATGAACTTTAATCATCTTCCATAAATATTCAAATCATAATAAATGAACTCTCATCATTTCCATAAATATCTCAATTGATTGAGTTGCATTGTTTGTACAAATGGACATGTTTACATTTGAAATATATATATATATATATATATATATATATATATATATAGAGAGAGAGAGAGAGAGAGGTGTGTTATTATACAACATCTTACATTTGTACAACCAATACAACTCAATCTCGATCGTCCATTTAATTTGATGAATATGTGATTTCATGGAAGTTTTAATTATTTCCTAATATAAACTATTGATCATAATTAATGAACCATATTATCTTCCATAAATATTCAAATCATAATAAATGAACTCTTATCATTTCTATAAATATAGAAATTGGACAGGTAAGGAAATTCCTTGTTGGGCTACATCAAACTCGCATACCCGGTAATGGCATTACTCTACCACTGAGGGAAGGAATTAACCCACCTATTCCGATCGGGGAGAACAGGTAGGATTTTTATCCAAACATTAATTGGGCGTGTATTAGCAGATGATATATATATAGGTTCGCGATGCATTGCTACTAGAAATCAAGATATTGGGGTTGACTTCAATTAATTGGGTTGCATTGGTTGTACAAATGGACATGATTGCATTTAAAATATACCCTATATATATATATATAAATATATATATTTGTACTGTTATAATTTCAAGGTTGACTATAAAATATGTAACTATTTATCAAATTAGCTTAATTATTTAAGAATCCTATATATTGTGAAAACTATTATTGTAAGGTATTATTTTACCTATTTTTTCCATTTAAACTTATAACTAATGTATCAACTAAAATATAACCGTTTCACAATGTGTTTGTTTCATATGTATTCTGCTTATATTATGAAAAAATTTAGTTGTATTTTTTGTTTCACAAACATATAAAAATATTTGCATTGTGAAACAAATATATATATATTAACCAATACATTAAATCTTAAGTTATGAATGGAAATTTCATGTAAGCTATTATAATTTTATGGATTCTCAAATGAAAGTCGAGTATTTATCAATATACTGGCATTTTATTTTTATTATTTATTTAAATTTTAATTTAAATGAAATATATTTAATTATTATTAAATAGTTTTCTGAATTTTTCTTTCTTTAACACGTAATTTTTTGCGAATATCAAAACTCTAAATTAAATTAAATATTTTGACTTGTTATAAAAAAATTATTTGACATTAAATACATTTTTGGATTTTAATAAATAGAAAATATATATATATATATATATATATATATATATATATTCGAAACAAAGAAGGTATAATGTTTAATTGGCTTTTATTTATAAAGTATTTTATTATATAAAATATTATTGAAAAACAATTAAATAAGGGAAGTGTTAATGGTAACTTGTTGAAATTTCGAAAATTGGAATCACTTTAATTTTCATCAAATGTCAAATTTAATCAATAACATATATATTTTATTATTATTGTTGTTATATTTATATCCGTAATAAATAATTAACTTTTGAGACACATGTCATGTTTCTGTGCGGCAATTGTTGATTTTTCCCGCCTAAACATGCATCTAGACACAATTTTCACTTACAGTTCAAACAGGTCTATTTAAGTGACATTTTTCCCTCTACACGTTTATTTTCTTATTTTCGTGGTGTAACTGAATTTAAGTCTGAATTTAACTCTATAGTGGCCTCCAGACTTACCACATAACTCTGGAAAAATTCAGAGTTGTAAGTTTGAATTTAACTCTGAAGATAAGTCTGAATTTAACTCTGGAGTGCCTCCAGACTTACAACATAACTCTGGAAAAATTCCGAGTTGTAAGACTGAATTTAACTCTGAAGGTAAGTCTGAATTTAACTCTGCAGTGGCCTCCAAACTTATAACATAACTCTGGAAAAATTCAGAGTTGTAAGTCTGAATTTAACTCTGAAGTGCCTCCAGATTTACAACATAACTCTGAAAAAATTCGGAGTTGTAAGTCTGAATTTAACTCTGAAGGTAAGTCTGAATTTAACTCTGAAGTGCCCTCCAGACTTACAACATAACTCTGGGAAAATTCAGAGTTGTAAGTCTGAATTTAACTTTGAAGTGGCCTCCAGACTTACAACATAACTCTGGGA